ATTATTAATACTAGAGAAAACAGGCTTTTAATATTATAATATTGAAATAACTCGTAACATGTAAATTTAAACGATAATAATTATTTTTATAAATTTTAAATCTTCATTATCTTTATTTTATTCTGTCTATCAATGTTAATTAATTTCGACAAAGATATCGATGCCTTTGAAGGCAAAAATGAATCTGAAATTAAATATATGTTCACATGATCGGACATACTTTATTCCTGTTCAATAAAAAACGTTTAAATATCGACAATTTTTTTTCGAGCGTGCGATTGTCAAAGTTGCTTACATATTTTTGCAAGTCACTGTGGCAAAAGTAGTGGACGCGCAACATCGCACACGATCGAACGACTGCGATGGTATCCATATATAGTTGTCATTGGCGATCGATCAATTGAAGCCAATCAATAACCAATCCGTATCAAATAAACTGTGAAAAAACTCATCTCTGATATTTCTTCTGTGACTGTGAAATTTATTATGGTCACGAGAAAATTGGAACTTTTCTCTTTGCACCATTTTATCAAAATTTATTCAAAAAAATTTTGTTAATAATATAATAATATAATAATGTTAATATTAATATATAAACACGACGTAATGAACAATGGATATTACATAAATATGATGGATACTAATAATACAAATTAATATAAATATAACAGATGAACATGAAAATGATGTAAATTAATTATTGATTATTTCTAACACAAGCAGAAACTTTATCTTATGCAAACGATATAATACTAATACTATAGTACTAATTTTTTTTTAGAGTAGTAAAAAGGGCACGTAACGATACTGAACGTATCGTTTATACATGCAGAAGAGAGTATGTAAAGATCGTTGTTACAAACTACGTGGAACATCTTTAGAGATCCATCACCTGTTTAGTGGGGATAAGGTGAGAGTATAAAAGGTGAATTCCTCATTTCCTTAGGATCATAAACGATTGGATTTAATAGTACCTGGTCATCTTCTTCGTTCGATAGTGCCCTGTTTTATCAAGATGAGAACAATCGTAAGTAATTTTTCTCTGTCTCTAAATAAATATAACACAAATAAAATATCTTTCTCTCGAATCGTTTTTTTTCAAACGCAAGTGTAATTGAACTTCTTTTTTATTGTACATTTTAAATTTATATTTAGACAGTGCGATGTTACATTGTTGTTTAATCAACTGGTTTAATTATCAAATGTCTCAATTAGTATCGATCTTCTAATTTATTGTATACTTTATTGTGTTACTTTTAAATTTAAATTGTGAATGACACTGTTAATTCGACATTATCAATCTTCCATTATTTATAGAAATATAAAAGTAAATTTGCAATTTATAACTTGTAAAAGTAGATCCAAGTCATTGACGACGCTATTAATCAATCATGTAACTGTAATGAATCAACTAATAATTTGTACTAAACGTTCGAATCACTTTGAATTATCATCCCACATGTTTAACACTTTTCTTTTTTAAAAAATTAATAATTTATATTTGAATCATCAAGATAATTGTCATCCCAGAGAATTATCTTTAGAAATAAAAATTTTTTTTTCTAAAAATTAATTCTATTAAAATTCTATAATAATATTTAAATTTCTATAATTTTAATATTTAAAATTCTATAATGATATTTCTATTAAAATTTTTTTTTCTAAAAATTGATTCTATTAAATTTATGTTTGTGTATGTTCGTGCGGGTTACAAATATCATTGATTTTATATTCGAACTGCGATAGAATGATTTTTAGTCTATGTTACGACACGAGCAACCGCAAAGAATACGAAGCAAACGAAATCGACGACGAGTTCGCAAACTCGTCGTAGGTCAGGAGTTAAATGACCCGCATTGGCATCTTACTTTCACTCATCTCACCAACACTACGTCGATCCTGCCGATCCGTAGATCTCTAC